AAACGGATTGCAAACGACTTTGATTGCCTAATAGGTTTATTTATTAACTGCTTCATAGAAATCGCAGTGAAAGCATGCATCCTCCTTCGTGGACATGCTGCACACGGAGGGAGGATCGCTTTAAAATAGTGACTCCAAATGCAAAATGACAAACTCTCCACTTTGGGACCAGGACATGGAATGTCGACCAAAATTCTGAAATTTGTCTTAGATTCGAAAAAAAATCCCTCAAGTACAGTGAAAGTATGTACTAGCATGCGGCCTAATCCCAAAATAGGTCATTCATTTCAGGACACTGGCTTTTTAAAGAGCTTCGTTACAGCCACCTGCAAATAAAAAAAACTGTACAAAAACGATTATTTAAGCAGTAAGGATTATTCTCATCGATTTTCGAAGCCCTTATAACTTAAAATAGCTTATAGAAAGCATATATTTGTAGGCAATTACGTCCTCTTCGAATTTTATACACCAAAAATGCAGCGTTCGGGTTTTAAAACATTTGAAATTCCAGAATAATTGCGACCGTGACACATCGTTACACGTACCTTTAAGGTTTCGAAACTGTATGCGGTGTACGTTTTGTCGATGGAAAATCACCAACTCTTATAAACGACGAGGAAGGTGACACAGAGTGCTCACAAGGTGTCGCGTTGTATGTCATACTTCTTAAGCAGCACTTATAACGCATCGGCGCGATAATTTATGCATGCGCACATATGGTGCTTGAAAAATATCGTGATTAAAAACTTTGATAAAACCGCAAGATATACTTTTGTCAATTATACAATTTTAAGAAGACTTAATTTTCTAACAAGCGAATACAAAAAAGAATATTTTCTGTATAGTTCCCGTAAAATGTTGTTGAATTTATAAAGCTGTAAGGAACGAATCTGTTTATCCTCGGATGTAAAGTGTTAGCATCCTCAAACTATATGCCAGTAAAGTGAGAATAATGTCATTAACAACAGAGAAGCAACTTGGTATTGATCAAGTTGATCCAATTGTGAAAAAAACTCGCTGCAATCGGCGGGGTTTGAACCCGCCTTGTAGAGAAGGCCTTTACGCGTAGCCAATGCTCTCCCAGTTGAGCTACAAATGCCACGCTTCACACCGTGAGTTTAATCACACTTGGATCGATTTTACCCACCCAACTGTACCGCTCCTATGGAATCCACCAATACCGAACAGCAAGCTAACTGCTCAAGCAGGATTTCCTAAGCAATCGTCTAGAATCCACCAGAATGGCTACTAGGCTGACTTATTATTTAAGAGGTTTGGCAGATTTACTTAATTTAAGTTGACCCAATTGTGAAAGAGTGAAGCGTGGCACTTGCAGCTCAACCGGGAGAGCATCGGCTTCGCGTAAAGGCCTTCTCTACTATGCGGGTTCAAATCCCGCCGAATGCCGCGAGATTTTTCACAATTGGATCAACTTAAATTAAACAGATCTGCCAAGCCTCCTTAATAACTTAGTGCTGGTTTGTTATTTGCAGTTGTGTCAAGTAAATAAACTGACAAACTTTAATTCAGTAGAAAGGCTTCTCAGGTCACTACAATCCTCCCCCTTTAGGAGAGCGGAGTTAAAATGTTAGTGGGAGGAAAACATAGGGGTGTTAAGCATAATGTACGGGCTGGCAACGATCAGGGCAACGGACACGACAGCTACTGTGTGGAAGGAGAGAAGTTTGTGGGATAGGGGGAGGCGCAGGGTTATCAGGTGTAGGCGGAGTCTGGAAAATAGCAAAAGGCATTGCGCCGAACGGAGACAGTTGTTTTGTTGGTGCAGTTAAAAGACGTTCGATATAAGTCACCTTCAGGCGATCGACCGATACCATTTCAGTGCGACTTCAACGGGCAATTTTAAAATGCTTGTCCGTGCGAGAGAGTACTCTAAATGATCCATCGAAGGGCTGCTAAAGTGTCCGACGAAACACCGCCCACGCGGATAAATACAAGGGTCAATGGATGACTTACTTGCTGACAGATGTGGAGGGAGGGCTCAGAGATTAGCCACTGCGTGGCGCAGTCTTCGAACATAATCAGTAAGATACAATTCGGCTGAGCGTTGAGCCTGCCTGAAAAAAAATCGCCGAGAATCTGTAGAGTGGTGCTATAGCCAAGCTTGGCCGCGGAGCACTCCATGTCGAACTTTAGTGCGGTACGGATACTGAGAATGGGAAGGATTGTCGTGAGCTCGGATCGAGATTTTGAGTTGACCATGGAAGCGTTCAACCAAACCCTTGAATGAGGGACGGTAAGTCGTCATGCGTATGCAAGAACATCGGAGAAAGTCCGTTAGGTCATGAAACAATCTACATTCAAATTGATAGCCTCGATCGTTGGTAAAAGTTGAGAGGACGCCATAATTGGAGATCCAGTTTTCCAGAAAGGCGTGAACCACTATATCCGCAATAATATTTGGCGTGGGAGTTGCGATGGACCATCGCGTAAATCAGTAAATTGCAGTAAGTAAATAGCTGCAACCACGAGATATTGGCAAAGAACTTACCAGATTAATGCGCACATGTGCAAAACGAGCGTTGGGTCTAAGAAAGGTGCCAATGCGGGGTTTGTTGTGCCGTCCGATTTTGCTTTTCTGACAGGTTAGATATGAACGAGTCCACTGGTAGATGTCGATGATCACGTTTGGTCAGGTGAAACGCTCTCTGAGGAGGTGCTGGGTGGTGTGGATATAGCAGGGGGTTAAGTAAGCTAAACCCTAGCAACTGCGATCTTCAGGCCATGGATATTTAGTAAAGAGGAGAAGTCAGTGGAGGCCAGAATAGTAGGAATAGTTAATGTGTACACAAGGGAACGAAGAATAGATGGAAAGCAGTTGGAATTCGAAGCACACGTCATTCCGCTGGAGCGCCGTGGTCCTTAGTGACGTCTGGCGGCCGAGGGCGGGGGAAAAGGGACATGTTTGAGTGGTGTTTGAGCAGCCACAAGAACCTAGACGTACGTATGTGTGTCCGAGTGGAAGTAGGTCAAGTCTCTGCAGGTCAGCGCGTCTGTAAGCGCTGACTGAGTTATTGGATGACCCTGAGACAGCTGGCCTGGAACACTGACGCCGGACAAAGCAATGGAGGGCGTCGGACGGCAGAGACCACTACATGGATGCCGGGCTGAGCATGCTTATGCAATATGGTAAAAACATCTCGCTTGTTATTAGAGATCGGGAGGCGCCACGCGGTACGTCAGACAAGACTGTACCGGAGGTGGTGGGCAGAGGAATGGCTTACATTTGAAAACCAATACGTTCAACATATTCAGTGAAATTCGGTTTGTTTCGCCGTTCTACCATGCGCTCCAATTCGATGGAGGGGCAGACGATGACATCAATTCCAGATCGGGAAAGCCAGTCAACAATTTCATTATAAAAGCCTTTAAGAAATCCAATATGCGTGGTGTACTGTGAAATAAAATCGAGATAGTGGGCCTCTCGGGGTGGCTATTTGTCAGGGGAAGTCGAGAGGGCATAAATAAGAGGTTTGCGGTTAGTATGGGTACAAAATTCTCTGCCTCCAAGATAGTTACGAAAACGTTTAATGGCTAAATAAAGGACAAGTAGTTCTCTAAAACGTTCTATAACGAGTTTGTGGGTTGTCAGTTTAATGGAGTAGAAAGCAAAGAATTGGATGCCCGTGGGCGTACGTGGCAGAAGCACTGCACGTATGACGCAAATGAAGGCTTCGGCCACAATGAAGAGTGGGCGATCAGTTATAGGGCGAACAAGGGTATTTGTATTCGCGAAAATCTCTATGACGCGCTGGAAATCGTCTGCAGGTCTGTCAGGAAAAGAAAACTCGTGGTTGCTCCCGCGTTAAAGGATAATGAGAGGTTACGTCGACTGAGCGCAGTGAGAAATGAAACGTCGATGGAAATTGACAAGGTCTATAAAATGACGCAGCTATTGAAAAGGAGTAGGAGTAGGGAATTCGCGAATAGTCGAAGCTTTGGCTTCTAACGGATAACAACTGAAAGCATCTACGCAATATCCTAGGAAGACCAGCGAAGGAACACCAAAAAAGTTTTAGAGACGTTAATGAAAATACCAAATCGACTCAATTTCTCAAAAATGAGGATTAGGTGCTGTTGGTGTTCCAGTACACTGGAAATTGCTACTACAAAATAAATGACATAAAAAAACAAAGGGTAAGTCGCGCAGAAATTCGCTGACTTAGCGGTAAAAAGTTTGCGTGGAGTCCAAGGGACATCCTAACAGACTCTAATTGACCAGATGGTGTTTTACTAGTCATTTTTCGATGTCTTCCGGAGTATTGGGAAGCTGATGGAGGGCTTTAACCAGGTCTATCATAGGACACCGGAAATAATTGGGAAGAAGGCATACTAATTAAGTAGTTCTTTTTACAGGCAGCTGCAGGGAAACTTATTCAAATACAAGAATCTGAAAGTGAATACAATATTTAAGGATTAGGCTTCACGATATTAAACATTACAATTATATCTTAGTACTTTTTTTCGAATCGAAAGCACATTTCAGAATTTCCGTGGACCTTTTATGAGATAGACAATCTACTGTATGCAGTCGTCATGATGATCACTTGTGAAACAGAGGAATTACCCTCACGTTGGATACACGTTTTACCGTCGTATGCGGATTACTGTATCACCCAAATGGCAAAAACTACTATCAACAAATCTACAGTGGTATAATGCCCATGCGGACAAAAGTAGGAATCTCTGAATAACGTTTGTTAGAAAAACGTTAACCAGTAACCTTCGCACCACACGACTACCACCCGCGAAAGTGCAAATAAATGCGATTAGTATGGAGAAAGCTGGCTACCAAGCAACAGTACTTCCTTACTAGTGAGAGATGAAGCATTGAAGATGGCAAAACAGCAGAATTTATTGCATCCATGACATTTGGGGAGAACTCTTCAACAGCTTAGACCGATCATTTATGGGAGCTTGTTCCGCATTCATAAGAAGAGGAAGGGGAATGACTTAATGGAATGACACACACATATATGGGATTTACTATTGGAAACTGTAGCCAACCTACCACCACAACTAAGAAAGTGCCTTGTTGCTAGCTGTTGGCTCCCTTGCTAATCTTTTAAGATTTTCTCACTATTTCTCCTTTATCCCCATTCTTCTGCCATCACATCGGTCTATTTCGTCCCTCCTCGATCCTCTTCAAATATTTACCCTCAAGTTTAAACTGTCCTCTGCAGTACGCTGTAGAAACATTTTCTTCCGCACACAGTGTGATGTGCGAACCTGACATGGCACCATCAAAATGTCCAATCAAGATGTAAGGTAAAGCGGCTAACTAGACGGAGTTTTCTGATGTTTTCAAATAGGCGATTCATGGTCTACGCCGGTAAATTGTCGATCTGAGCAAAACTGGCTCTAGCAGGAGTATTATTCTTGAAATAAAGCCAAGTCACTGGCAAACAAGCGCCATAACCTGTATTCATACGAAGAAGGGATCTTCCACCAGTTACCAAATTAAAACTTACGAGAATCAAAAATCTTGGGCGATTATAAAGCCGCGGCACAAAGTTATGTGCAAATGTGCTTAATTAATTGCGTTTCCTTGTTTAAATTCAACCCCTGACGTAAAAACCGGCAGTATTATATATTTTGTGTAATTTTACCAAAAGCAGTTCGTTTGGCAGCGGCACTCTGGTGATGATTAGGTGCGCTACAAAATTATTAGTTTTTTTGTCCCAAGCATTTTAAAGGGCACTTTGGCAGTCAGACAAAATGTGATCAGACAGGTTTCAGTTCCGTGTTGGAAAACTGTTTTGCACATTAAGGAAATTTATAGCGGATATATCTTAAAGAAGGCGTTTCCTTGAAGAAAACACCTTCTCCATTTGGTTGAAGAACGTCCTGCGTAGTGATACAACAAAAATGCCTATTAATTAAAAATATTCACAAGTGATGCACTGCCCAGACCGTAAAATTTGTTGTTGTTTTGAAACTCAAATGCTTATAGTTACCCGCCCGAAAACGTCAAAAATTTGTTGCAACAAGGAGTACAACAAGACGAGATCACATTCATCTTCAATGAAAGGGACAAGGCGAGTTTCCGATATTTCATTTGTTGCCGACTGTTAGGCGAAATCAGACGGTTTATAAATTGCACACTGGGGGAGGCCTACTTTATGCAATAAAAACCATTTTGAACGCCATCTTGCACTCTCGAAAAGCATTTAACTACGTCGAATTTCAAATAAAACTGACTTAATTTATACATATTTCCTCAAGGAAACTAGTAAACGATAAACAGGAGCTTTAAATCATCTGATATGCAAAACTCTTCTGTGGATTCAGTTGAGTTCTGTGACAAGTGCAGTTAACAGTCTGTTACCAGGATTACCAAACTGCTTGAGTTGTGCATTACAAGTTGTTATCTACTCTTTAGTAAGTTTTGAGGTATTTGACGTCTTCTGGCCTCAGAAACGTCGACACTGCAGCTGTATTTTTCGAAGGAACATATCATACGTTGAAATCATAATGCTACGTTTATGAATACGACGTGACGGATGCAGGGAGCTGACTTTGAGGGTTGATGGGGCCAAATAAAGTGGGCGTCGTGTAAACGGACTGAAAAAGACAGTTCATAGTATTTACTCATCTTATGCAAGGGCATGCTTCTTTCCGTATTTAGTTAGATGGCAAAAAATGCCAAAATCAGGAGGAAATCTGCTTAGTTTCCCAGAAGAATTCTGCGTTCTGTAACAACAAGCAAGCTGAAAATACCGGCATCTTCAAACTCTAATTAAAAGGTTAGGTCAAGCTGAGTATAAACGCTAGCTGTTAGCCACTGTCTTCATGGCACTTCTCGGCATTTCAACTATGTCGGAGAAACTGCAAGACTTCTCGAGACGCGAATTGCCGAGTACGCGGCAGCAGTGCAGATAAATGACGCCAATTCTCAAGTTGCGGCTCATTCGACGAGACCCAGCCACTTATTCAAAATTGACGAGACAAAAATTCGTGTGGGAAGTGACAACTATGTGATTCGCGAGTTTCTCGACTCATGTTTCACGGGACTCCAGTCCGTAAACAAGTGCAACGGCCTGCATAATCCGCATTCGATGCTGCGGATCAGTTTGGCCAAAGCATGTCGCCACTTGAGAAACACACAGGCCAAGGCGTCATCTAACGCGAACGCCAAGGAACCAGATGACCGAGCACTCATCACGTCCAATTCCAGCACATGTGATGAAAGTTTAGCCGGT